AGAGTTCTCTCTGGTTTCTCTCTAGTTTCCCTCGCCGGAGGGAAACCGGCAGCCATAGGCCACCGTACTCCGCCGCCGACCACCGCCGCCGGCCACCGTAACGGTGGACGGAATTCACCAAAAACACCCCCAAAGCGTAGATCTAAACGCCCTAAGACCGATTCCGGTCTTTGTTTTCCCTAAAAGACTCCTAATCGGAGTAAATCTACGAAAATACCTTCGGTATTTTCTGTTCTCCGGCGATGTATAGTGCTTCCGACGGTGGTCAAGGCTCCAAGGGTAAGTTTCTTTCTTCTTTCTTTGCTTTCTGTTTTGGTTTTATGTTGGTTGTGGGTTCGTTGGTAGCTTTCTGTCTTCCCTTTTTTTTCTTTTTCTTTGCTGGATCTCTCGTTTCTCTCGTGTTCTCCGTTGCTCTCTGTCTTTGCTCTCCTCCTTTTTTTTGCAGGTTCAGTGGTGGCTTTTATAGCCACCACAGTGTACTCCTCGGACCGGTCCGATCTAGCATCTTTGGTGAGTCACCAAGCTATGGCGGTGACTCACCATAGAGCACTGATTTGGTGAGGCAGCTGGCTTCTGGAAAGCTCGACGAGGTCGGCGTCGTGGAAGCAGTAGCGTCGGCAGCAACTGGTTGGACCATCTGTCATCAGAGAGTCGGTCGTCGGGGTGGCTTCAGGGGTGGCGCCGCATCTGGAAACGGCTGGCTGCTAGGGTTAGAAACCCTAGGGTTTTCCATCTGGAACCCTTTTGGGCCGTTGGATCTTGCCAGATCCAACGGCTGATGATGTTGACGGCGGCTGGGGGCTAGGGTTTGAAAACCCTAGCTGAAACCCCAAATTGATTCAGGGTTTCCATTTGGGTTTGGGATTTGAATGTAATTGGGCTGTGATTTGGGCTTTGTAATATTTAAATAATAAATAATATTACTAATAATAATAATAATAATAATAATAATAATAATTTAAAATGAAAAAATTGATTTCTACAATTAGAATTAGATCATATTATGTCAATTGTTTATCTTCAGTGATTAGTTTAATTTAGAATAAAGAAACTATGATGGTTATTCAACAATAATTATTATTTAAATTTGGTAAGGGATTCAACAATTTTGTTATACTAATTTTCATATATTTTTTATTATTTAATTTTATTAAATTATTTTAACTTCGTCATGAATTTATCCATGTCAACCATTCCATAACTATTGGTGTCCACTCTCACCATTTTCTTGCACTCTTCCAAGCTGCAACTCTCCCCAAGCCTCTTTAATATCTCCATCACTTCATCTGTACTTCTTTAATCTGGCATGCTTATATGTTTGAATCGCTTGCCACAAATGTGATCATTATTTTTTACGAAAATTCCTTAACAATGACATAGTCATATCACCTCCCCTTCAAAATTAATTCTTCCCGACATTTTTTTAATTCCTTTTTTTATAACCAAAACTTTCCATGATCATCCCGTAAAAACCAGCTCCAGCTTAATAAAGCAATCATCAATTACAGAAGAAACACTTGCATGGATCACTACGTACTGTACCCCACACCTTCAGCCACAACACCTTCGTAACTTATCCTTTCTTCTTAAGCTTTTAGATGAATAAAAATATAAAAGTAATTAATGAATTGTGTGTGTTTATCTTCTGAGTTTTTTTTAATCAGGTTTTCTTCGCATGGTGTGTTCCTGGTCTTCCGGTAATGTTATTATTATTATTGCATGTGATGATGCTCTCTCAAGCAAGTACAATTTCATAAATGATAAATCTTTCTCCCAAATGATTATCATCTAATGGAGTTGTTGATTTGATTATTAATTGTCCATGCCAAGTTCTTAAGTTTTAATAATATCTTAAGTTTTACCGAGTTTTCATTTGATTTGGGCTCTAGGTTCTTCTCTCCAAGTAAGTTTGTTTTTCTTAGTCCTTTTATTCTTTGGCGTTTATAGATTAACTGTTTGGTTGTTGAGAATAGAGAAAAGGTAGATATCAATAGTAAGTCAACAAATAGATAGCCCTAAAGCTTCTGCTTTTTATTCTTCAATGATTGTATTTTTGACTTTCTGATATCTTAGTTCATTCAAATTCATGTAGACCTGGCCAAAATTTCCCTCAAAAGATTCTCTCTTTTACTGAGATTTGAATTGTTGGGGTTTCTGGAAAAACAAGAAAAAAAAATTAACCCACTGTTAATATTCATCATGGGGATAGTTTTCTCACCTATCATTGCAGAGTGCAGACCCAGTTGAAAGATAAACAAACATTGTTAGATTCATTGAACATATTCATAATCGTTCAAGCTCTCTCAAATGTAGCACGGAAGCTTCTGTTTGCATGCAGCTAGCACCTGGATTGCAGTTTCATGCATTAGTGACAATTCCAAAGTTATCGGTCTGCATTTTCCTGGAATGGGATTCCAAGGCCCTATTCCACCCAATGCCATTTCTGGTTCATTCCCTTCGTATTTTGTCCAACTCAAGAACTTGACCACACTTTATCTCAAATTCAATGAGTTTTCCACATAATAGTTTCCTTGGATTCCGATGTAAGCTTTTGAAGAGTGCAAGAAATTGGCTTGGAGAAAAACTGCAGAAGAAGTGAAGATATTTAGGAGGTTTAGCTTGGAGGAGTGTAAGAAAATGATAGTAGCAATGGACACCATGGGGATGGAATGAATGTATTCATGACCATGATAAAATAGCTTAATAAATTAAAGAATAAAAAATATATAGAAATTAAAAGGTTGAATAGTCGAATAAGTGAGGAAAGTTTGAGTTAAAATTAAATACATAAATTTCAGTTATTAAATTAAAAAAAATTGAATGACCAAAATGAGAGGAAGAATAAATTTAGTAATAATTTATGTAATTTATCCTTTAAAAAATGTGGTGGCATCAGATCCAAAATAAGTCCAAATTCAACCTCGTAAACACTAGCGACCGGAGGCCTATCGGGTGAAGTGAAGCCATGAAGTCATTCACGAACGTCATTTCCGAGGCAGGGACTCCCAGATGATCTAAATCTTTTTCTTTTGGTTTTAATTTGGCCGATCAAACTCAACATGTCAAATTGTCCCACAGCCGAAAAGCAAAGCGGTAGCCGATTACCCCTTGCTTGCCAATCGAACCCACCATCCTAGGCTAACCCTAGTTCAGTTTATGCTTACTTCAACGACGTTTAGAGACGGGCAATTTCAGCGACCAGTCAATCGCGATACGCCACGTGCTGAAACCAGAGAGTGACAAAAGGTAATGGATATAGTCTTCTCAGCTTAACACGTGGATAGACCAAGTCGTTAATCACGGTCTCCAGAGTAAAGATGGGTCCCACGCGTTATTATTGTTATCAATTTACTTTCTAAAGAGATTAGCAATTAGGAAGTCTAAAAATATCAGTCAAGGGTACTGTATATATTAACTGTAGATATATACCTTATAATTATAATTATTTAAACAAAATTCTATTATCATTAAATTCACTAAATATATTTTTATTTCTTAACACTAAAACCACCTTGTACTTTAAAATTTTTAAGACATCCTTAAATTTAACAAGAGACGTGATACTAATTACAGTTTAATTCATTTGCAATTTTGTATTTTCCTTTACCACTAAAATTAAAAGTTAATCCCATACTCTCTAACCGTTGCTGACCACTACCACCAGTACAGACAGGATTAGGATGTTGAAGATTATGTGTAAATTCTTAAAAAAATGCTCTTAAATCTCATCAGAGTCGAGTTGTTAATAAAAATTACATTTTATGTATAAAATTAGGATGATTATATTTTACAAATTGTTGCCTTTTATGAATAGTGTTTTGGTTTAAAAAAAAACCATTTTCCTATTTTTGGATCAAATGAGGAGGACGTTTTGGTAAATTCAGAGTTTTGAGTTGGCCTCATAAGGACTAAAAAGGTTGCAAGCCCAACCACCCAATGTGCTGCATACAGCTGGAGCTCAAATAGTTAAAGGTATTTAATTTAATGCCGTACTTATGAAAGTATCAAATTACCCTTGGTTTGACACATTTTGGACCAATCGGTTTGGGCATAAAATATTGTTAGCGGTTGGTTTGTGGATAAAGCAGCAAATACTTTCACGAAATCGAATTTTTTGGGTCTTGTTATTCCGGGACCTGTTCCGTCACGCATGTTGCGTAGTCCTAGCACCGCCTCTGACCACCGGCAAAGATCGCCGTAATTATCGAACGGGTATTGGATCCTACATAATATTTTAGATTCCTTTATTTATTTGTTTCTGTTTCTGTTTTTCACCGTTTGGGTCCACGGTCACACCTATCCTGCTGTCTAGTGCCTACCCACTTCGCCTTCAGCGACTATAAGTAGCCCACTGGGAATGGCCGCATTGCTCCTTTTGCAGAAACCTCTATAAAAATCTACTTAGTTCGTTGCCCTGCATCCTCTCTCGTCCTCTGTTTTATTCTCATGTTCTTTGTTTGATCTTCACTATAATGGTACCTTTTTAGAATCTCCACTCGAACTGTAACTCAACTGTCTGTCGTTGAATTGTTTCGGGTTTCTCTTCTGTTTGTTTCCCGGGGAACCGTGTTTGCTCCCGTCATTTTTGCTCCAATTTTTTTCTTTGCTCTTCCCGTTCTTTTGCTGTTAAGCCTTTCCAGTTTGTTGCTTCTCCGTGACCTCCTGTACACCGTCATAATAAGGTATAAATTTTACTAATTAACTTCAATCTTTAATTTCAATTTTTCTTATTTTTTTTGAACGATTTGCAGCCTATTAATGAACCATTGGAGACTTTTTTTTTCTCCTAGTAGTTTTTATTGGCGCTGATTCGTCTTGTTTATCTTGTATCAAATTTTATCTTAATTATTATATTTCTTTTGCAAGAGAACAAATTTTGTGAAATTATCTTCTTAAATTTGATCATCTGATACAGTTTTTTCTTTTCTGTTTTGATGATAGCGAGTGATACAGGGGTTGAAAGCTATGTGTTTTTAATCAAAATTTTGTTTAACCTGTTTCTTAACTGTAGCATAATGGAACGCTTTCGAGATGATCTTCAATACGTTGTCAATGAGTACTACGAGGTCAATGATTTCGATACCGACGATACCTTCGAACCTGAGCCTCAGAGGGACACCTTTGAATTTGATTCCATTGACTCCGATTTTGAATCGGTAAGATTTTATTTATTTATTTATTAGAACCTTTCACGATTATGCCTGATTCTCATGATTTAGATTCTAGAATCTGTAATTAAGTTTCCATAATCAATATAAAAATATGTTGTGGTTATTTGAAAACAGAGTAAGCCAAAAACTGATACATCAGCTGAGGAAGCTAGAAATGGAAAAGATATACAGGGAATTCCTTGGGAGAGGCTTAATTTCACTAGAGATAAATACCGTCAGACTAGAGTAAGACAGTACAAGAACTATGAGAACCTCTTTGGTTCTCGTGAAGAGATGAAAAAGATATGTTTCTGCATTTCTTGCCATATCTAAACTCTAAAGAGTTTTTTATACACCTTTTTTAAGTTGGAGAAAAAAATACGAACGACGAGAAAGCTGTTCAATTATATGCAGCTGTGTCTCAAGGACCTGGAGTTCGTTTCCAAAAAAAAATATGGCCAAATAATTAAATATACATTTTGTTGACAGGAGTGCTTGCAAACAGAGAAGGGAAAGACCTTTTATGACTTTCAGTTTAACACAAGACTTGTCAAATCGACAATTGTTCACTTTCAGGTGGAGAATTTGCTCATTATTTTCAATTTTCAGTACTAATCAACTATTTGTTTTCAATTTCTTTCCCATTCCTCGTGTTGTTGTTTCCTTTCTTTATCTTCATGAGAAGTATGTTCGAGCAGAATTTGGCCTTTTAGAATGTCATGAGCCCGCTATATCTTGAGAGTATCTGTGTTGTAATAATGGGTTGATTATGAGCTGTTTGATGCCATCTCTGTTCCATATATTTCTCCATCATTTCATCTTTGGTTGTGGTGATTCATGTAGTTGTCCTTCGCTAGGTTTGAACTTCAATTATCTGCATATCAGTAGTCTCATAGTGTTGCAGGTCCTATTGTAGTATTGTTACACTTTATCCATATTTAATCCATTATAGAAGCCTAGAAGGTATGAATTTTACATATGCCTCCTGAGACCTTAGGCTTGAGGATGTGTGTATATATATTGTTATAAATGCAAATTAGATCTCTTATAGTTAACTTAGAGCGGCAAACTAATTTCAGAGTGATAAGATTAGACACGTGTTGTTGTATTTTGATTCAAAATTGACTTAAATCTTTCCGATGTTTTCTTCTTCTTCTTTTTCTTTTTGTATTAGTTTCATGTATTTTTATGTACCTCATCCGAGCCATCAAGATGGGGTTATTATTCACAGAAATCCTTTTTTGCAGATTTGTGAAGGATGCATTACTTTACACTTGCTTATGTTAACAGTTACACGAAATGTAAAATATTAAAAGAAATATGGACAGAGGTACCATCCTGATCACGGATCTTGATGCTTCATGGCTGTGGTATGACTTGGGGTTTTGAAATTTTATTAACAATTTATAGTTGTAGCACTTTACATTTCTAGTTGTTCATAAACATGCACTGATTCATACAATATGAATAGTTCAACCGTGTTGTCGCAGTCTGCTCCTGCATAATACTTGCGCACGCAACTGCTTTAGTATACATCAACTTTGAAGCTCATGAAACTATGTTTATACGTAGTCTTCTTTGAATCTATATGAGCCATGGGTATAGAAATTCATCGACATATCTTGTGATTGTGGTCTTCTCTTTGCATTAGTTACGTTTTCTTTTTAATTGTTGGTGTAATATGTGGATTAGGAATACATTTTATGTTGCATGTGAATTATATGGATTTAACCTGTGGCATTTAGGAATTCTATTTCTCTTATTTCAGCCTTTACAGGAGGTTGGGAGTAATTTTTAAGCAGCTGACGCGATAAAGATGCTTTGATTGTATGGTATGATAGGAAGCATGTAAGAGTCCTCCGTCGTGATTGCTGTAATTTGAGCATAGATATATGTCCCACACCTGAAGGGCAATTAATACTTGATCTGCATGAGTACCCAGTTTGTGTTATTTGATTTATTGCCCAATATTATTGTTTTGGATGATCTTCATGTCATGTCGAGTCTTCTTCTCTGATTTATTTTTGCATATTCATCCAGTAATCAAGTGTTGTAGATTGAGGATAAAAGAGAAGAATTATCGAAGAAATGAGTTATAGAAGAAGAAGAAAAGGGAATACAGAAAGAAAATTCTCATTCATTCAAAACATGGAAAAGAAATGAGCTCAACAAGGTATTATTTAGTTACAATTTTCGTACGGCAAATCTATTAATGCCATCTGGCAATATATAATAACTGAATCCTTAACAGATAGATTCCTTGTGCTGTGCAGGTATTGGGCCAAGTGATTGGGTTGCTCCATCTCGTTCCAATCTTCAGTAGCCCATCTCCACTTCATCAGATAAGTCCAACTCCAACTCCTTTTGTTTTTCAATTCCTTTTTTGATTTCAATCCCCAATTTACTCTCTCGAATCCCTAACCCTTCTTTCTCCAGAATCCCTAACCCTGCTTCTTCCATTCCCAATTCGTGCTCGTCCTTTCGTTCTTCGTCTTCTTCTCCAACTATAACAATACCCACTCCACGAGATGAGCCTTGTCCCCAAGGATCAAACGCAGGGAACTGTCCACGCAGAAACGTATAATCTTCCCAAGTATCGTTCGATTCATCCAAGTTTTGCCATCGAATCAAAAGCTGAGTAACTGTTTTTCTATTTCTATTCACGATTCGTCTTCCCAAAATTTTCAAGGGTTTTATTTGGAACTGACCATCTTCTTCTATGGCAGGAGGATCTGTAGCAGTTACTGATGAAGCCCCGATGAATCTCTTTAGAAGGCTGACATGAAAGACAGGGTGGAGTCTCGAAGAAGCAGGTAAATCCAGTCGATAAGCTACTGCACCAATTTTCTGGAGTATTTTGTATGGCCCAAAATATTTTGCTGCTAACTTAAGATTTTTTCGCAGGGCAATCGAAGATTGTCTATAGGGCTGTAACTTCAGGTACACCAATTCTCCAACTTGAAAAACCCTCTCTGTTCTGCTTTTATCAGCCTGCTGCTTCATTCTGTTACTAGCCAATTCTAATTGATGCTTGACTAACTGCCTCATATGCTCTCTGTTAGCCATAATTTCACTAACTGACTGAACTGAAGTATCTGTTGGCCAAACCATAATAGGTGATTTGTAGCCATATAAAGCCTGAAAAGGAGTCAATTTTAAAGTTGTATGGTAAGTGGTGTTGTACCACCACTCTGCCTGAGGTAACCATTTAGCCCAATACCTAGGCTGATAAAAACAGATGCCCCTCAAATACTGTTCTAAACACTGATTGACCCTCTCTGTCTATCCATCCATTTCAGGATGATAAGTAGTGCTAAACAGTGTCTTTGTACCCAATTGTTTCATCAATTCTTTCCAAAACAAACTAGTAAAGGTCTCATCTCTGTCAGAAATGGCCATTTAGGCTGGCCATGTAACTTATATACATTGTCAAGGTATAGCTTAGCAATATCTGCTGCAGAATAAGGATGAGATAGAGGTAAAAAATGACTGTATTTGGTGAATTTATCCACAATGACCAAAATACAATTTTTCTTAAAGGAAGTAGGCAATCCTTCAATGAAATCCATAGTAATGATTTCCCAGGCTTGTGTAAGAACAAGCAAGGGCTGTAGCAAACCAGGTCTTGCTACATGTTCCACCTTAGTTTGCTGGCAAACTTCACAACTTTTCACATAAGTAGCAACCATAGCTTTAAGATTTGGCCAATAAAAATTTGACCTAATCCTATAATATGTAGCATGTGCCCCAGAGTGTCCCCCTTGAGGAGAATCATGCAAAGTCTGTATAATTTTTAGCCTCAGGCTTCCTTAGCTCCAATATAAACCCTCCCATCATATCTAAGAACAGCCTTAGAATATTTCCATTTAACATCAGCAGCAGGATTAATAGCTAGAATGGAAATCCAATTTTGAGCTGTAGTATCATCCTTATAGCTATCTTCAATCTCATGAACCCAAGTAGGAACCAAAACAGTCACTCCCATAGCTAAACACTGAGCTTGATCCTCCCATGTTCTAGATAAAGCATCAGCAACCACATTTGATTTCCCTTTTCTATACTGAATAGTATAGTCTAATCCCAATAGCTTGGTCAAACCTTTCTTCTGAATGGTGATAGTTAACTTCTGCTCCAATAGAAATTTCAATGGTTCATGATCAGTTTTAATAACAAATGGCTTACTCTCCAAATAATGCCGCCATTTAGAAACTGCCAATAAAATAACAAGATATTCTCTTTCATAAATAGATAGAGCTGAGTGTATAGGACTTAAGGCTTTGCTTAAATAAGCAATAGGTCTTCCCTCCTGTGAAAGAAAAGCCCCTATACCCCCAGAACTAGCATCTGTTTCAAGACAAAAAATCTTAGCAAAATCTGGTAGTGCTAAAACTGGAGCAGAAGACATAGCTTGCTTAAGATCCTCAAAAGCAGAATAAGCAGCCGAATTCCATTGAAACCCATCCTTTTTCAACATCTGTGTCAGAGGCCTGCTAATAATGCCATAATTCTTAATAAATCGCCTGTAGTACCCTGTCAGACCCAGAAATCCCCTAAGAGATTTAAGGGATTTAGGCTTAGGCCAATTATGCATAGCTTCAACCTTACTAGGATTTGTAGACACCCCTGCAGCAGATATAATATGACCCAGATATTCTACTGTAGTCTGTCCAAAAAAACATTTAGAAAGTTTTGCAAATAATTGGTTATTTTGCAAAACTTCCAACACCAACTGTAAATGGTGAACATGGTCTGCCATACTACTGTTGTACACCAGAATATCATCAAAGAAAACCAAAACAAATTTTCGAAGGAAAGAATTAAACAATTCATTCATAAGGGCCTGAAATGTAGCAGGAGCATTAGTAAGGCCAAAAGGCATTACCTTAAATTCATAATGGCCCTGGTGTGTTCTAAATGCAATCTTGTAGATATCTTCTGGTTTAATTCGAATCTGCCAATAGCCTGACCTCAAATCAATTTTGGAAAAGTAAACAACCTCATTTAGCTCATCCAACAAATCTTCCACTATAGGAATAGGAAATTTATCCTTAATAGTCAGACTATTTAATTGTTTGTAATCCACAAAAAACCTCCAAGTGCCATCCTTCTTTTTAATAAGAAGGCAGGGAGAGGTAAAGGGACTCCTGCTAGGTTGAATGACAGAAGAAGAAAGCATTGTAGTTATCTGTCTTTCAACCTCAGCCTTCTGATTGTGAGGAAATTTGTAAGGTCTTAAATTAACTGGTGAGGCATTCTGTTTCAGTGGAATGGAATAATCATGAGACCTCTGAGGAGGCAAGCCTTGAGGTTCATCAAAAACTGAGTTGTATTTCTCCAATATAGGTTGGAGTTCCATAGGAATAGAAGAAGAAACCCCTACCATAGTTAATAGGATAACATGGCCCATAATATCAGAATCCACTACACTCATTTTTAGTAATGTAGCTCCTGAAATTTGTTGTAATTCAGTTGAGGGATGCTGCCCTTGAATACAAATTTGCTGCCCTTTATGATCAAAACACAAGGTCATATTATTAAAGTCCATTAGTATTGGACTAAATAATTTCATCCAATCCACTCCTAAAACCATGTCACTTCCACCCAGTTTCAGTAATCTAAAATCATGCAAAAAAGTATGTCCCTGCATCTGCCACTGTACTTGATTGCATCTAGCAGTACTGAATAGTTGTTGGCCATTAGCCACAGTGATAGCCAAAGGATGAGGGGTAGTAATCTGAATGCTAGCATCAGCCTATTTAGGGGTGAAAAAACTGTGTGTACTGCCACTATCAATTAGAATATTCTGTGGTTTACCTTGAATATTGCCCTGTATTCTCAAGGTAGTATGACCAATAGAGCCAGTTATAGCATTCATAGAGATTTCTAGTGTTTCGTCTTCTGTTGGAGGAGACTAATCTGAATCTGCAGGAAAAAAATCCACTGTAGGAGTGTCAACTTCCTCAGTAATCATGTTCAATTGTCTGTTTTTACATTGATGTCCTGAAAGATATTTTTCCCCACATTTAAAGCAGAGATTATTCTGTCTTCTGTAGTCAATAAGACTCTGCTTAGGATTTGATACTGCTGTAGGTTTAGTATTGCCTGGCAGTGAAGATGGTTTAGAAACAATAATGGGGTTTGGGTAGGGTGGGGTTTTAAAAGAAGGCCTCAGTCTTCTGTTCTCAAACTCAACAGACAATTCATAGAGCTTAGCTTGTTTACAAGCTTCAGACAAATTTTTAGGATCTAAAGCCTTGACTCTATGCTTGATATCATCTCTGAGTCCACTAATAAAAAGAGAGACAAAAAATTCCTCAGTTAAAGTAAGATTTTGCAATAACATATGAGGTTGTAACTCCTCAAATCTTTCTTGATAATCTTCCACAGTCCCCTTTTGAGTCAATTTAGTGAACTCTTCTACAATGTCAGAGAAAGATCTGTCACTGAATTTGTGACATAGATCAGCTTCGAATTCATGCCATGTTACATTGTGCTTTTGCATTATATAACCATCAAACCATATTTCAGCCTTGCCTGTTAAATACATAGTAGCTACCTCTACTCTCTGCTCAACAGGAACACCACAAATGGAAAAGTATTTCACATTTTTGAAGCCACCCCCTAGGATTAATCCCCTCAAAAAATGGTAAATCAATTTTAGGTCTATGCCACATTGACCCCAAACTGATAAAAAGAACTCCCTGGTCCCCTGTTTTCAGCTTCCATTCCTATAATAGGTCTATTGTTACTGTTTTCACCCACTTGATTCTCAGGCCTAGAACTATTCTTATGGGCTAAACAAGCATCAGTCTTGTCTTTCAATATTCCCGGTTCATCAGTTTTATAAGTGAATCTTGATTTATCCTTTACTACAGTCACCAAAACATGATTTTTCTCCCCATTTTAAGAGTTATCAGGTGTGTTTACCTGATCACCTTCAGACTGCTCTTGTTCTCAATCTCTGCTAGTTAAAATCTTCAAGAGTTTTTCCACATATCCTTGGTTGGTAGCCATTCTAGTCTCCATTGCAGTAATTTTGTTCTCTTGGGCCTCCCACCATTTAGGTGGATTAGAATCATCGTTACCCTTTTTCACCAATGTTGTCAATTCTTCCATCTGTTTCTGTAACCCAGCTAAATCTGCCTCCATACTCTGATTTTTCTTTGTCATGCTCATGATTTACTTGCCAGAACCGAAGCTCTCGATACCAATTTGTTGTAGATTGAGGATAAAAGAGAAGAATTATCGAAGAAATGAGTTATAGAAGAAGAAGAAAAGGGAATACAGAAAGGAAATTCTCATTCATTCAAAACATGGAAAAGAAATGAGGTCAACAAGATATTATTTAGTTACAATTTTCGTACGGAAAATCTAGTAATGCCATCTGGCAATATATAATAACTGAATCCTTAACCGATAGATTCCTTGTGCTGTGCAGGTATTGGGCCAAGTGACTGGGCTGCTCCATCTCGTTCCAATCTTCCGTAGCCCATCTCCACTTCATCAGATAAGTCCAACTCCAACTCCTTTTGTTTTTTAATTCCTTTTTTTGATTTCAATCCCCAATTTACTCTCTCGAATCCCTAACCCTTCTTTCTCCAGAATCCCTAACCCTGCTTCTTCCATTCCCAATTCGTGCTCTTCCTTTCATTCTTCGTCTTCTTCTCCAACTATAACATCAAGTTTTAGGAATGTCTTGCCAAATGCTGTGAATAAGTTGAATATTTTATCTTCAACTTTTAAGAACCTCACTCGGTGAAGATGTGTTTAGTGGAGGTGTATAGATCTATGCATTGTCAATGCTGCTGTGTAGTGTTTCACTGTTGGTTTATGTTTTTCCTTCCTAGAAGAGGTCTGGAGTGATAGGTGCATTTAAATGACCTCGTTTAGGTTATTGAATAGATTCTAGGAAGTATTGTGCTATGTGAGTAAAAAGGTGTTGAAATAGAGAGAAGAGTATTGAGAAACAATGGTTTGAGTTTTCCATTGATTAAGAGTGGATATATATACACAAGATGGGGCACATAGAAATAAGAAACTAGCCTAGAGTTAGTGGATTAAAACTAATTACAAGGCACATAAATAGGAGACTAGCCTAGAGTTAGGGGATTACAACTAATTACATGGCACATAAATAGGAGACTAGCCTAGAGTTAGGAGATTACAACTAATCACAAGGATATTATAATTGATTACAATAATTTAAAATTTAAATAAAATCTGTTATAATTAATTCTCTAATATGCCCCCTCAAGATGGAGCTCCGGAGGAGACACCAATCTTGACCCTTAAATCTTGGAATCAGCTTCGTGGAAGCGGTTTGGTAAGAGCGTCGGAAAGTTGATCTGCTGAGGAAACATGAGTAACACGAAGAGCACCTGATTGAACTTGACCCCGAATAAAGTGATAGTTAAGTGCCACATGTTTCATGCGCGAATGAAAGACTGGATTAGAGCAGAGATAGGTGGCACCAACATTGTCGCAGTAGATAACAGGCGGTGTAGGAAGAGTGATGCCAAGTTCTGTGAGAAGGGAACAAATCCAATTGAGTTCAGAAGTAATAGCGGCAACTGATCGATACTCAGCTTCCGTGAAGGATCGAGCAACTGTACGTTGTTTCTTGGATGACCAAGAAATAGGATGACGACCAAGATAGACAATATAGACACTCGTTGAGGTATAGTCATCTTTGTTTCCACCCCAATCAGCATCTGAGAAGGCATGAAGGGAAAGTGGATTTGCCTTGTGAAGGAATAATCCATGAGTTAATGTGCCACATAGTTATCGAAGCAGTCATTTTGCAGTATTCCAATGTTCAGACGTCAGGCGATGCATGAATTGAGAAAGCTTGTTAACAGCATATGCTATGTCTGGGTGAGTGAGGCTAAGATATTGTAGACTGCCAACAATTGTTCTATATTTTGTGCAGTCAGTTAGAGCTGTACCTGAATGAAGTGTGAGATTTCCATCTGTATTAAGTGGTGTAGCAACAGGTTTTGCACCAATCATTTTTGTCCGGGAAAGAAGTTCAGTGATGTAGCGCCTTTTAGTAAGCAACAGATCGGATGGAGTGGTTAGAACCTCAATGCCGAGAAAATAAGACAAGGTGCCAAGATCCTTGATTGAAAATCTTTGTGCCATGAGGTCAATGTAGCGCTGAATAATATTGGTATTGGTGCCTGTGATAATAATGTCATCCACATAAACAAGTAGATATATAGTAGTGTCACTTGAGTGAAGAATGAATAGGCAAGTGTCTGCATGAGAGTTTGTGAACCCAGACTCAATGAGGAATTGTCGAAGTTCAAGGTACCAAGCCCGTGGGGCTTGCTTGAGTCCATATATAGCCTTCTTTAGTTTGCATATATGTGTTGGATTGTCTTTATCAACAAATCCTGGAGGCTGGGCCATGTAGACATCTTCGGAAAGATGGCCCTGAAGAAAGACATTATTAATATCCAATTGTAGCCATTGCCAACCTCTACTGAGTATCAGGCTTAGAACAAGCCGTATTGTTGTCGGCTTGACAAACGGACTAAAAGTGTCATGATAATCCACTCCAGGTCGCTGATGAAAGCCTTTGGCAACTAATCTAGCTTTGTACTTGTCAATAGAACCATTAGGAAGCCGTTTAATACGAAAAACCCACTTACATCCAACAAGGTTCTGCAGAGAAGTAGATGGAACAAGCTCTCAAGTTCCATTCCGAACAAGAGCATCAAACTCATCATTCATAGCTTGTCTCCATTTAGGATCTTTTAGGGCTTGAGAAACAGTATGAGGCTCAATGTATGATGGTTGAGAAATGATAACAGTGAGGTTTATTTTGGTTAGGGGTTTGTGGATGTTGTTTTTCGATCTAGTGGTCATGGGATGGGTATTTTGATGGGTGGGTTGCGCTATTATTGAAGCAGAAGAGGTCTTAGAATTGTGTGGTTCTAGTGGTAAATGGTCGAAGATGGTTTCTTGACGATTAATTGAGCTGTGTTCGGGTAAAGGGAGGCTATGGACAGGGATCGACGGTCGACTGATGAGGAAGGGCAGTGGTCTGTTTGGGTATTTTGTGACGGGTGTTGACATGAGGAATCCCTTTGTGGAGGCGTATTGAGTGAGCCACTTGAAATTGGTAAAATTTGGACCAGGGGAAGCCATTTGGAAATGATCTCTGGGGTGGTACACGATAGATGGATTTGGTGAGTGCTAAAGGGAAAGAAGTTTTCAAGAAATTTGACATGACGAGAAATGTATATTTTAGAAATGGATAGAGCGAGACAGATATATGCACTTTGTGTTGAATAGTAGCCAAGAAAGACACAAGGAGTGGAACGAGTGTCAAGTTTATGCTGAGAATAAGGACGAAGCCACGGATAACATAAGCAACCAAACACCCGAAGTTTAGTGTAGTTGGGTTGAGACTCAAAGAGTTTCTCAAAAGGAGATGAAAGATGTAATGTGGGTGTGGGCATACAGTTGATGAGATATACAGCAGTGGCAAAAGCGTAAGTCCAATAAGTTAAAGGCATTGATGCATGAGTAAGGAGAGAGAGACCAGTTTCAACAATATATCGATGACGTCGTTCAGAAAAACCATTATGTTCTAGTGTATGGGGTGTAGTAAGATGTGATATACCATTGGTGGAGAGGAAACGATCAAGGGCTTGATATTCACCACCATTATCTGAATAGAAGGTAACAATTCGATGTTTAAATTGGTTTTCGACTAATGCCTTGAAACGTACAAAGACATCATACACATGAGATTTTCGTTTAAGGGGATAATACCAAATATATCGTGTATAATGATCAACAAAATAACATAGTATTGAAAACCATCAACAGAATAAACAGGAGAGGTCCAGACATTAGAAAAGATAAGTTCAAGCGGGTGAGATGAGGTTAAGGTAGAAGAAGAAAATGGAATTTTATGACTTTTATTGCAAGAACAGACATTGCAATGTGTGAAGGATGATAACAAACTAGACAATGGTAAAGGAAATTTGGAAACAATATTTTTCATAATAGTAAATGATGGATGACCTAGTCGAGAGTGCCACTCGGACGAAGTGGTCTTGACACTGGAAAATGCAAGCAATGGTGGAGAGGAAACTGAAGGGGATGTAGTCGGCCACTCATATACGCTATCCTTAGATTCACCCATCAAAAGGATTGTTCCTGTGTTTAGATCCTTCACCTGAAAAGCAGAGGGTGAGAATTCAACAGAAACATTGTTATGAGTGCAAAGTTGATAAATTGAAATTAAGTTCTTTTTCATGGAAGGGACACAAAGGACATTTTGTAAAGTAAAGGTGCGAGAGGAAGTAGGTATGGTGGTAGAACCAATATGTGTTATGTGAAGAGCCGATTCATCACCAATCATGACATCATCAGATCCTTGGTACGAGCTATGAAGAGAGAGATTGCTCAAGTCAGATGTAACTAGGGATGGCAACTCAACCCGAATCCGACGGGTTCCGACCCGACCCGATCGGGTCGGATTTTTTTAAAAAAATTTCGGGTTCGGGTCGGGTCGGGTTTTTTTAAATGCACTGTTTGGGTCGGGTCGGGTCGGGTTTAGGGTAAAAAAATCCGACCCGACCCGACCCGAAAAATATATATAATTTTATCTTATATATTTAGGGATAATTACAATAATATCCCTCCATATATAATTTTTTTCAATTAAGTCACTGTTTTCATTGAATTAAATTTTTTTTTTTATTATTTCGGGTCGGGTCGGTTTTCTAAGTCATATATTCGGGTCGGGTCGGGTCGGGTGAAACATTAATTTTGTCGGTCGGGTCGGGTCGGGTGAAACATTAATTTTGTCGGTCGAGTCGGGTCACGGGTGGAGAACCCTTTCTTCTCGGGTCGGGTCGGGTGGCCCAAAAACCCGACCCAACCCGACCCATTGCCATCCCTAGATGTAACGTGGTGAGATGCTCCACTATCCAGCAACAAAGTAGGTGTAGTGTTATTGCCCAGAATAGCATGATTGGCTCGTGGTTGCCAGGGTGTGAAGGGGCGATATCCCTGAGAGCCTTGAGGACGAGATGTTGGAGATTGTTGATTAGTGACAAGTCGAAACATCGGGCATCGTTTGGCAGTGTGTCCTTGAGTGCCACATACTTGACAATGACCCAAATAAGGTTTGGGTTTGCGTTGATCATGAGGAGAAAGTATAGTGGTAGGGCCTGATTGTTGTGAATTAGTGGCTGATGGACGCCAATTTGGATGGAAAGGCCGTGGGATTTGCCGTGGCTGGTAGTGATAGGGAAGATGGTTGAGCGGTCTGAAGAGATGCTTCTTTGTTGAGAAGTTTCTCATGAAGTTCAGCAAAAGAAATTGACGTGTCACGGGCATTAATGGCATCAATGACAAATTTATACTCATCACTTAGTCCTTCTAGAACCCGATCAATAAGATCCTTATCATCAATTGGCTTCCCTAGAAGAGCAAGTTCATCGGCACGAGTCTTTATCGCCTGCATGTATTCACTAATTGATTTTGAGCCCTTGTTACACCGCTTTAATTGTTCCTTCAATTGTTTAATATGACCACGAGATGGTTTGGCGTAGGTATTAGCTAAGGTTTGCCATGCATCAAGGGAAGTGGTGGTGCGGGCAATAAGCGGTTGCAGTGAAACGGAGATGGCACCAAGGAGAGCGCTAAAAAGGAGACGGTCCTGCCGCTTCCAGGTTATGTACGCCAGATTTGGAGATGTAACACCATTGACGATGGCGGTGGGTTGTGGTGGAGTTTGAGTGCCATCAATAAAGTGATGAAGATCATAACCTTCAAGAAGAGATTGGATTTGAAAGCTCCATGTGAGATAATTGGTGGATGACAATTTGGTGATATTGGAGAGATTTATTGTAAGGAGAGGATGTTGAGGATCTTGAGAATTTTGGATAGTAATAGGATCGTTGGTGGAAGAAGTCGTATGAGAAGCCATTGAAGGGACAAGTGGCGTAGTTTTAGATATATGTATATGAAGGATCGTGGTGTTTTTGAAGAAAATATGCTCAGGAAGATTAAGCTCGTGATACCATGTTGAAATAGAGAGAAGAGTATTGAGAAACAATGGCTTCAGTTTTCCATTGATTAAGAGTGGATATATATACACAAGAAGGGGCACATAGAAATAGGAAACTAGCCTAGAGTTAGGGGATTACAACTAATTACAAGGCACATAAATAGGAGACTAGCCTAGAGTTAGGGGATTATAACTAATCACAAGGATATTATAATTGATTACAATAATTTAAAATTTAAATAAAATCTGTTATAATTAATTCTCTAATAAAAGGATGGGCCTTATTCAATCTATTCATAACTGTATGTAATATCTATGCATTATGCTGCATAAAAAATAGTCAGGTTTATATTTCTTTGCAATTTTTTTTCTTTTTAGTGGAAAAGTTTCCATGCATTAGTGAATTTATGTGAATGCGTTTCCCTTTTATATGCATTTGTGTTCTTTTTTTTCCTGCACATTATGCTTGCACTCCTGGTATATTCGTATTTGTGTGCCTCTTCCTTGAGAGATATCTTTAAGGTACATACTGTTAGTCTTGACAATTTTCCTGGCTGTTTTACCATTCCTAGCTCTCTTGATTTGCTTACGAAAGTCGATGGTGCTTTGTGTCACCAGGGTGAACTGTGTGATAATCATAACCTTTTATCATCATGCTTTGTCTTTTTATATTCATCTAATTTTATATTTCTTTTATCATTTTTGTTTTATGTGGCATGTTTTCATGTATACCTGTGATTTTCTTCTCTTCGTGTCTTATTTCTATAATGGGTATTTTGAGAGTGGGGTGAAGAATGAATTGTGTATGGGGACAAGCAAGGTCAACCAAGGATTGTATTATGGATGGAATCAAATAAATTTGTCTCCTAGAAAAAATATCAATAGAAAGCATATGGGTTTATGGGGGTTGTAACCTGTAATTATGACCCTGACTTTGGTATGAGGTTTTTTTTAATGAGGCCCCTATTCTTATAAAAAAAAAACTGTAATTATGACCCTACATATTTTTATGCCGAACTAGTTTCAATCTTTTCCCCTTTGTGCAGCTTAGAAATCTATTATGGGCTACATCAAAGCATGATGTATACCTCATGGAAAATTACTCAGTAATGCATTGGTCATCACTGCTTCGCAGAGGTGAAGAAGTACTGAATGTGGCTAAGCCAATTTTTCCCAGCCTGGTTAGTGAGGATGACCGTGATTAAATGCGACTTTGGCTAATAGCTTTATTCAGAGGGAATGTGTGTTAAAAATCTTTTTTGTTGATATGTTTGTAGAAACGTCCTGGATTGCTATCTCAGCAACTCTCTAGAGTGCAGATCAGCACAATGGCAGTTAAAGAGAATTTCATGGTAGCTGGTGGTTTTAAGGGGGAACTTATTTGCAAGGTATGTGTTTGGTTGGACAGTGGTCTACTGATTTGATATTCTATTTGCAATGTGGCTTATGTTTTTCATTTGACTCTTCCGTTTGATCAGTACTTAAATCAACCAGGGGTGGCATTTTGCACAAAATTAACTGCGGATGATGATGCAATTACCAATGCAGTGGATGTGTACCGTAATCCTAGGTGAGAACTACTGATTCTCTTAGGTATCTTGAACAGTTTTGATGATACTTTGTGGAAGGCAATGAGCTGAAAACATTTATATTCTCAGTGGTGCAATGAGAGTTATGGCTGCAAATAACGATGCCCAAATTAGAATTTATGATGCTGAAACTTTTGCTAGTGTTAACCGCTACTCATTCGACTGGACTGTAAATGTAAGTGCCAACCTTTAAAAGCCTGCTTTTGGTTTCTTTTTGTCATCCGCTTTTATGTACTTGTTCCCTATATTATGGTTGTGTGCTCTTTCTAGAATACCTCCATAACAGCTTGCTATAGTTCATCCGCAGACGAGATAACCACTATCTAGATTCCATGTTATAAAATGCCAGAGCCGCTCTTTGATATCAGAGGCAAATTATTGTGAATATCTTATAATTAATTAAGGGGTTGTTTCGAAATTTCCTGGTCTAGTTATTAGTATATCCTTCTGGGGCGAGAGGAGCATCAGGTTTAGTTTAAATTGCAGCAGACGACCTCAGTAACATGTTTCTGTGAAGGTAATAAATTTTCTTCAGTAGCAGAAATGAACAGAAAAGTTTTGGTTTTGTAAAGCTTTTGGCAATCGTGTGTAGCACAATCGTAATTGTTCTATAAACAGTAACATCTTATGTTATATAACACATTTAATAAGTAATTATTGTATTATTTTATGTACATTAACAATATTGTATGTGTAAATGTGTTTGTTGTCTATATCGTGTCGTGTTATGTATATATTTATACGTATACGTTTAATTTTGATTTTATTATGTGAAGAAGTTTGAAGGTTAATAACAATCCACGAAGACGAATGAAACTGTGGCTGAAGTGTACTTCAGTTTTGTCGTGAATAGGTTAGAACCGAGGGCGGCTGCAAGTGTGTTCCAAAGTGCCGTGCTAAAATTGAGTTCCGATATTTTGTCCAAAGTTAATAAAATATTATTGCAGCTATCAACCTCACTGGGGTCTCAGAACTTGAAAACTGTCCTGAAATCGACTCGTTTTACACTTTACGCACTGTGACGTGCTGGTAATAAGGACTTCATAATAAAACGAGTTTCACTTTTGAGGTTTACAAAAGGGAAGGAACCCATTGTGGACATTGAGGGGGGTGAGGCTGTCGGCTAAGTTATAATTTGTGGGCTCAAAGTCGTGATATTGTAGTAACGTTCTTAGTATTATTTGGATAAGACCTTGTGAATGCATCTACGTCTTAAGTGCAGTCTCAGTCGTACTGGATGGTTACAGAGCTGAATTGTATTGTTTCGTGTAATTAATTTCTCATCCAGATTGGTCCATGTCTCCACTGCGTTACAGTTATAGATTTTTACGACTGTTGCCCAACACTATTGAATAGGACATAGAACTACTACGCAAGATCTTTAAATGTATTCTTTTTTGGGTGTTTGGCAAGCGCATGAACTGTCTAAAATTAATGAGCAATGGGGAAATAGTTTCAATAACGGAAATCAAATACCATTCTAAATTGAAGCCTTTAGGATGGTTGCAATTTGCGAATATAACAGCTAATCACTTTCTTAAGAAAAGAAATAATAACCTATTCTAAAACAGTGTTATGTGGTGGGAAGAGTTCCTTGATAAAGTGAAAAGATTAAGATAATCAAATTTTAACTTATCAAGTCAAAAGAACATTTATCTATAATCGTGAAATGAGTTTTTAGAGTCTAGTATATATTCAAAAATAACTCTCAACCATTTGATATTACATGCTCACACTCCTGACATTCATGGTACTCAAACTCGAAACCTCAAAAAATATCAACATTTCATTTACTATCGAGATCACTTAATTCATGCGAGCATAAGGACATTTTATATGAATCAAGTTAGGTTGAATTACATGAAAAATAGACGTCACATAACTCAACCCACGTCGACTCAAATAACTTGGGTTGGGTTCAAAACCTATCCAACCCAAATTGCACCCAAACTACAAAATCATTGGTTTCACTCATGTTTTTATTATTTTTGGGATTTAAAAACAAATAAATTCTTACGACTAAGTAATAGATGATTAAAAATATTACTTATCAATAAATTCAAATAATTTTTTTGAAATAAACAATTTAATTATGTCTAAGTAATAGATGATTTAAAATATTACTTATCAATAAATTTAAATATTTTTTTTGAAAGAAAGAAATTTAAATAATTTAAATATAATAAATGTACAAATTAAGATGAATATAAAGTGTAATTTAATATTTATAAGGTTTTATCCATTCAAATCCTTATTTCTAATACGATAACAAACATATTTGCATATGGCTAGGAAATAATTTAAAATGTTTTCGTACAAAGTGAAAATAATTATTAAAAATTATATATTTTATTTTTTATTTAATTCAATATAATATTAAAATATTAATTTATATAATATACGAATAAAAAATAATGAAAAATAGTGTTTACATTTTAAAAATAAAAATATAGTATTTAGAAGAAATAAAATTTATATTATAGAAAATAGAACAAAATAATAATACTTCACACATAAAAATAGTTAAATTAAAATTTCTTTTATTGATAGATAAGTTTAACTTGCTTTTGTAACGTCTACATCGCAGTTCAATTTAATTAATTAATTTTAATCAGTATGTTATTTTCCCTAGTTACATTTTATTTAGAAATCAAACTCTATTTATACAGGTTTCTCCTAAATATTCAAACAAAATATTACTGTTAAAATCATTCAAGTACTTAAAAATAAACTTAAAATAATGATAAAAAATATTTAAGATTTTGTAAAGTAAACATTATTACACATCAAATATAATAAAATTATCAAATTTTAAATAATAAAAATCAAATATTTCAAAAAATAATGAAAATTGAACCTTTTTTATTGTGGAAGCAATACTATTTAAATATAAATTATTTATTGTTTGATGTCAATACATCTATTTAAATATTGTTATGACTTTGTTTAATAAAATTATTTATATATTAAAATTATTTTTGTTATTATATAAAAGTTAATAATGTATTAACTTGATTTCTTTTTGTGGTTCGTTTGTCGATGTAGTCATATATGTTCGTATCTACCTTTTATTCAAGTTTATTTGATTAGGTATTTAATTTTTTTCTTATATAGTTCTTGTGTGATCTTAAGTAACTAGTTTTTTGTGTTAATGATTATATAAAAATGTTCTTATTATGTATTTTAGTTTACAATTGTTGTTGTAAACTTTATTATAATTTGAATATTTTCTATTTTTAATAAAATTAGTAACTTTTATCTTGTCAAAAATAATGTATTAAAAATATTCTTTTAGTAATATAATAAACTATAACGATTATTTTTAAGGATTTGAAAATTTCTTTAAAACTCTTATTTTTATGAATTAATAGTAAAGGATTGGACTAACAACTTGTTAGTTTAGTAGTATGATGTACTACATTCTTTAAGTAATGTCAGATATTCGTATCTTGATATTTACGAATAAGCAAATTGAGTTTGTGAGGATCATCCCTATAATGAATCTTTGTAAAACAATGATTTGGATTAGTTGATCGATAGATCAAAGACCAATGATTAATTAAACTAATAATAAAGGATTGGATTCCGGCTAGGAGTGTGGAATAAGCAACGGAATTAAGCTCTCATTTTTAACAAGTTGAAATATTTAAATAAATAAATCTGCAAAACTTGGGCTTCATATTTAATGAAGAAAAATTTGTGGAACATAGTTGATGGATTCCTTTTTCATATTTTATTAATGTAATTGTCACTCTTCAAACTTGAAAGGGTGCTCATAACTTGACCCTTTTTAAGCCTCATAAATTAGTCGTTGAGACCAAATTAAAAGTATCAAGCATTGAATATTTCTTTTATATTTTATCAATGAAAAAAATGAAGTTTAAATATACAATTTATATTTGAATTAATCATTTTTTTTCTAAATTAATAATATCTAAAGTTATTATAGTTGGCGTTATTTCATCTTGAGGTAGTTTGAGCTACAGCCAACGGTACTATTTGGTAGGAAGATATGAATTTCCCCACCAAAGAAGATGCTGCTGTGTCAACTTCAAGAACACAGATGAATACGTAATACGTTTGCACTTGGAAAATGGGATGGCTGGAAATGCAAGGAAAGGTTTATAGTAATTGGGGTTAGCATGTGGCAATCTCGTGAAAAAAGTTGAGCTATGGAAAAATTTCCCCATGAAAATGTATGTGCGTGTGACGTAAAATTCTAATAAAACTAAAAAATCACGAGAATTTCTGTGTCGGGAAGGAATTCACGGCAGACAACCTTGATATCCAAATCCAAATTAATCCTTAGTACTTGAAGACTTATTTCAGTCAAGCGCGAGAGAGAGAGAGAGAGTTATCTACTTTTTAATCTTTTTCCTTAATTATCGTAACCACCAATACTATGTCAAACCTATTCCTGCTATTAGGTTGGGTGGGAACAGTCAACTTTATTTTTAGTGATAAAAAAAGGGGGGATTCTGAAAGTAAGTTTGAAAAAGTTGCAGTGAATAAAATGTGGAAGAGCGCAAAGGAGCAAGTTGATTTGGTGTTCTATTCGTATACCAAAACACGCAACTCGTGATGTTAATTTGTATCTGTGGGGAATAAGATGGAACTGTTTTGGAGATATCGTTTCCTGTGATTTACTTTCGTAATTTTTTTAGCAGACTTGTGTTTCCGGTTTTCTAGATGTCTAAGTTAGCCAATCAAACACGTTTTGCCCACTGGATTTCCTTTGTTTTGTTTTCCTTTTCGAAAGTCTTTTTCATTTTAGAGAAGAATTGACTTTGGGTTGTTTAAAAATACATGTTTTTAATTTCTCTTGATGCCTAAATTTAGTGTCTAAACTATATTATTTTTTTTTCGAATAAGTGTTTACAATACTTTTTGAACCATTCAGGTGACTAACGTTACAAAAGTTACCATTTTAGGTGATCATGTTGTCAACGGCGTTAATTTCTTCCGTTAAGTGACACATGTCAGATAGTTTTAAAAATTTTATATAAATTTTAGAAAATAAAATTATATATTTTTTTAAAAGAAAACAATGAAATTTTAAAATAACCCCAAAACTTTGAAAACTTTAATTTCAACCCTTAAATTCACGCCTACCTTCATCCTTTGTCGTCAACGAAACTCAAGTCGACCTCACCTTCCCATCAACAAAAATCCCTATGAAATCATGGTTATAGAAAGGTAAGACATGGTGAGGATATATTATTTGGGTTTTTACTTTATACTTGGAGTAACCCTATTATAAAGCTATGGTTCAACTATTCATTTGGGCTTATTCTTACTCTATATATATTGATTTGTGTAAATTTTGTTTTATACCATTTATTTCTTTTAATGTCATATCTTTTATTTAAGAATTTAAGTTTAAGGGTTTAAATGTATAATTTATGATTTTAAAGTTTTAATATTTA